TTTATTGTAATCGACCGAAGATATAATGAATTCTACAGCAAAACTAACTTTTGACGAAAACACCATGTAGTGTTGTTGAAAGAGGAGATGTGCAAATACAGTTGAAGGACTTCAAGTGGAATCTGAAGAACGTGAGGCACGTACCGAAGCTGAATAGGAATCTTATTTCGGTAGGACAGCTTGGAGCAGAAGGCTATGTTTTGACATTTACCGGGGATTCGTGGAGGATCTCTGACGGTGCTATGATTGTTTCCCGATATAGCAAAATATGCGGGTGACACCCTCGCAATTGCAGCTTGTAAGGAGAGTACAGATCTGTGGTACAATAGATTAGGACACATGAGCGAGAAGGGGATGAAGATTCTACATTCACAGGGAAAGCTAACCGACATCGATTCCGTGAAAGTTATTGTTTGCAAGGACTATATTTTTGGGAAGCATAAGAGAGTTAGTTTCCAGAAGGGTGGAAGGCTACCTAAAGCTCAGAAGTTAGAGTTAGTTCATACCAATGTATGGGGTCCAGTTAGTATGTCTTCTCTTGACGGTTCGGGTACTATGTCACATTCATCAACGATCACTCGAGGAAGGTATGAATATACTTCATGAAGCACAGGTCAGAGATGCTCGGGGTCTTCAAAAAGTGGAAAGCCATGGCGGAGAACAAGACAAATCTAAAAGTGAAATGTTTGAGATTAGACAATGGTGAAAAATACGAGCTGAAGGAGTTCAAGAGGTTTTGTGCTTTGAGCGGGATTCGTTTGGAGAGGACTACTCCAGGGACAACGTAGCAAAATAGCGTTGCAGAGAGGATGAACAGGACACTGACAGAACGTGTCAGGAGCATGCGATTACATGCAGGTCTGCCTAAGACATTTTGGGCGGATGTGATGCACACGGCATCTTACTTGATTAATCATAGGACATCAGTTCCATTTGATTACAGGATTCCAGAAGATATTTGGAGTGGCAAGAAGATCAATCTCTCATATTTACGAGTATTTGGTTGTGTGGCATATGTTCATATCAGTGACCATGTCAGGAAAAAGCTAGAGGTTAAGTCACTGAAGTGCACATTTATTGGATACGATATTGATGAGTTCAGGTATCGTATTTGAGATGAGAAGAACATGAAGATCATCCGAAGTAGGGATGTGATATTCAATAAGGAGGTGATGTACAAGAACAGGCACATGGCCAATGATAGCCAAAATAGTGGGAGCAGCACTACGAATACAGGTGGATCCGAGTACATAGATTTAGAGAAACTTTTAGATAGGGACGACAAAGTCAATTCAGACCGAAGAACGGATGAGGCTCCAGATACAGAGACGACTACCTAAGGCGTGGAGCTTAGGAGGTCATCTAGGGTACCCAAACTGAATCTTAGATGTCTCTCATCACTTGATTATTTGTTTTTGACAGATAGTGGAGAACCGGAGTGCTATGAGGAGGCTATACAAGTGAGTGAATCTCAGCAGTGGGAGCATGCGATGTAAGAGAAGATGGATTCTCTACACACTAGTGAGACATGGGAGTTAGTCTAGCTACCTGCACAGAAGAAAGTATTACATAACAAATGGGTCTATCAGGTCAAGCAGGAGAGTGATAGAAGCAAGAGATATAATGCCAGATTAGTCTTGAAGAGGTTCCAACAGCGGGAATGAGTGGACTATGCGGAAATATTTTCCCCCGCTGTGAAGCTCACAACCATCAGAGTGGTGTTGACCTTAGTGCCTACAGAAGATCTCTACCTTGAGTAGTTAGATATGAACTGCATTTCTTCATGGTAACTTGGATGAAGAAAATAAACTACATGAAGCAACATGTTGGCTTCATTGAAGAAAGAAAGAAAGAGATGGTATGTAAGCTCAAGAAAAACTTGTACGGATTGAAACAGGCTCCGAGACAGTGATATAAGAAGTTTGACAACTTTATGCAGAACAATGGCTATAGGAGATACAATTCAAATCATTATTACTATTTTAAGAGGTTCGAGTCCAGTTTTATCGTGTTATTACTATATGTTGATGACATGTTAGTTGCATGGCCGTGTTTAGAAGAGATAAACAGATTGAAGAAGCAGTTGGAAAACGAATTTGCTATGAAGGATCTGGGTACAGCGAAGGAGATTTTTGGGATGCGAATCAGTAGAGATAAAGCTGAAGGGACGTTGATGTTGAGTCAAGCTGAATACATCGAGAAGATACTTTAGAGGTTCAACATGCAAAATGCTAAGGTTGTTAGCACGCTCATTAGAAGCCAATTCAAGTTATCTGAAGAGCAATTACCTAAGACAGATGCAGATAAAGAACATATGAGCAGGGTGCCATATTCTTCAGCCATTGAGAGTCTCACGTACGCGATAGTTTGCACGAGGTCGGACATTGCCCAAGCAGTGGGAGTTGTGAGCAGGTTTGTAAGCAATCTAGGGAAGCAGTATTAGGAGGCCATGAAGTGGATATTACGCTACTTGAGAGGACTATGGACAAACCACTATGTTTCAGGAAGAAGGAGTTTGTACTGTAGGGATACATGAATGCAGATTTCACCGGTGATCATGATACGAGGCGGAGTACCATGAGGTATGTTTATACCTTAGCATCGACAGTAATGAGTTGGGTTTCATGTCTGCAGAAGATTGTAACTTTGTCTACAACTGAAGCTGAGTATGTCGTGGTGACTGAAATAAGCAAGGAGATGATTTGGTTGAACGGGTGCCTGAAAAGAGTTGGATCTGAAGTAAGGGAGAGGAATTCTTTATTATGACAGCCAGAGCGCTATACATCTTTCCAAGAATCTAGTATATCATATCAGAACGAAGCACATCGACGTACGATATCAATTTATACGTTCGCTGATTGAGGACAGGAAGTTAAGTCTAAAGAAGATTTTGGGGAGTCAAAATTCTGCGGATATGTTGACGAAAAATGTGACCATTGACAAACTGGAGTTGTGCGCAACTTCAGTTGGTATTTACGTGTATGACATGAAGGCGGAGACATGCCAGGAGGATTGGCGGGATCGTCGGGTTGATGATGATTAAAGAATGGATTTTTTTTCTGTGTAGGAGGATGCTTGCGAAGAAGGGAGAGTTTGAGTGAGCTCGTTGATTGTGCTTTGGTCTCCAAGTGAGAGATTATTAGTCTAAGGGATGTAGATTCAAAGCTAGAATCAAACAAATTGTTGGATAGCAGGTTTCCTAATCTGTTTTGGTAACATGATTCTTAATCTGTTTTGATAACATGATTCTTAATCTATTTTGGTAACATGTTATTAGGATTTCTAATCTGTTTTATTTTTTGGTTTTAGAATTCCTAGTCTGTTTTGGTTTTAGGTTTTCTATATACATGGAACGCCTTAGAAGAGATTAGGCATCAGAAAAAGAGGGTTTAGAGAGAATTATTCAGAGAGATCTCAGAGAGATTAAATTCTATTTGTGGGCATTGTAATCTTTTTCAATATTAATCAAAGAATTGTGTGGTGTGAGTCTCGAGGACGTAGGCACGATTGCCGAACCTCGTTAAATGTGGTTTGTTCTTTCTTATTTACTTTCCTGCAAGTTTTTATTTTTTATTTGCTGTAATTTTTCCTACTTTTCTACTCTCAAACACAATGTCCGGAAGGGCAATGGTTCGATTTGATTGTTTTCGAATCCCCAACACATGTTTGGCTCTATTTCAAGACTAGGATAACAAATATTTACGGAAATATCTAACAAATATGAACTGAATAATTTATAAAGATTCTCCAAATACTACTAACGAATATTCACAAATATCTGTCGAATATCCACATAATATTCGAATTGAATTCAAATATTGATTCTCTATTCATTTTGAGTCCGATTACGAATTTGAGTAATCGAATATGAACAAAATACAAATACAGATGTTTTGATCTCCGGTTCGAATTCAGTCCGTCTCCACCCCTACCAATATTACCCCAGGAATTGAAATTTGAGTCGGCAAGTGGGGGAAAGGATGTAATTAAAAGTGGCAAAAAAACGGGGGGGGGGGGGGGGGGTAAAGCGTAGTCGATCTGATGGGACGTGAACTTAGTATAGTAGTCTAATTTTAGGCGAAGGAGCGTGTGAGGTAAAATCAGACAGGGCCCTGTCATCCCCCCCACACGACCACGAGGTGGTGGATTTCTACGTTGTTAGGCCCCACAACTCTGTCCCCCCGCTTCCTCACTCCTGCTTTGAGCTAAACGCCAAACACGCGAGTTTTGCCGCTTATATACTCCACGTCACTCTTCCTCCAACATCACAGCGAAAACCCTCTTAGTTTCTACGTTCCAGTTCACTCTGCGGGAAGCCAAATCCCCACGCTTTTCCCTCCAAAATACCGACTTACCCTATGAAGTGTTAACTCCCCAGTTTAACCACACAAAAAATGACTCCGCACCCTAAATAAAAGCATGCATTTACACTAAAAAAACTATCATGTAATTACATTTACACAACAGGGTGCAAATATAAAATATATTAGGAATAAAATAAATATATTGAGTATTACAGCAATTTAATAAATGTATGGCCCTTGAATATATATATATATATATATATATATATATATTATATATATATAATATATATATATATATATATATATATATATATATATATATATATATATATATATCGAATTTGAGTTAGTGTAATATGCTAAAATATTCCTTAATTAGCCACTACAGCCTGGCCTCTCCCCTTTCCATCACCGTTATAAATCGCCCTCCCCTCCCCTCTCCTCCCCCTCTCCCACTCCGCCTCTCTACGAACCCTCTCCCCTCCCGAACCAAAAACCCCGCCTAGAAAAAAAATGCTAGCCTCCGATCGCCGATCGATCCTCACCCAGCCCGGCCACCCCGCCGCCGACCACCCCCACGAACCGCCCGAGCCGCTACGAGTCGCAGCAAGCCGACGCGACTGGACACACCTTCGGGCAGTACCTCCGCAACGCACCGCCCTCCCCTCCCCTCTCCCGCTGCCAGCGCCACGTCCTCGAGTTCTCCGCTACCTCGACCAGTTCGGCAAGCCAAGGTCCAGTCCCTCGGCTGCCCCTTCTTCGGCCACCCACACCCCCCGGCGCCCTGCCCCCTGCCCCCTCCGCCAGGCCTGGGGCAGCCTCGACGCCCCTTGTCGGCCGCCTCCGCGCCGCCTTCGAGGCGAGAACGGCGGCCAGCCGAGGCTAACCCTTCGGCGCCCGCGCGGTCAGCGCTGTACCTGAGGGAGTCAGGGACACGCAGGCCAAGGCGAGGGGGATCGCGTATGAGAAGAAGAAGAGCGGAAGAAGCCCCCCGCCGCCGCCTTCCGCGAGTGAAGGCGGCGACGGCGGAGGCGGACGCTGGCGGTGGGGGAAGCGAGGGTAGTTTCGTGCTGGGGGGAGGGCAGTTTTGGGAATTTTGGGATGCGGGTCTGAGATGGGGTGGAGCAGCAGGAGGTCGTTATGCGCGGTTGTGGAGGCGGCCAGGGGAACGGGGGTTTTATACCGCTCTCGGTGTTCCATTAGCTATGATAATTTTAGGTATTTTTAATTGTTGTTGTTTTGTTGTTTGTTATGGGTTTAATGTATGATATGTTATTTGGTTGCTGATGAGGACTTTGGGCGAAGGAAAAATATGAATTTTATGTGTTCGTTTATATGGTATTGCATGCTGCAGTTTTAGGGTTTCTGAGTTTGATTTGAGATCTAGTTTTATGGCTTTCTATTTGATATGATTTTGTTTTCTTGACGAGCTAGGGTAAGTTTTGCTTTAATTTTTTTTTTCCCCTACACCTTAATGATTAGAAGAGATTAGAGTATTATTTTGGGGTAGTTGCATTTTTTTTATTTTGATTTGACTTGAGCATCTTTTTTTTATTTTGTTTTTACAATTTTTAGCATGGATGATATAGCATAGGATGGTCTCTCTCTCTCTCTCTAATATAGTTATTTATGTCTACTTGTAGGGCTTTACTAATTGATGTTTTTTTTAGTCAAGATGGAGCCTCTACCTACGATTTTGTATGGGGTGTTTTGTTTTCTGTTTGCTTCATTTCCTCTCTTGGTTACTTTCTCAATTACACTCTACTGTTTATCATTTATTGTATGTTTAATTAGGTCAACACAGTTCGCAAGAGTGAATAGTTAAGGAATAAATTTGCTGATCAGTACGACTCAGAAAACAGTCTGTTGCACTGTTAGAGGGTAATGGAGAGGATCCAATTCCCTTCTCCTTTTAACTTCCATGAATTTTATTCTTATTCCTCCCTTTTTGTCTCCATTTTTGGATTCCCCTCAAAATACAAACTCTTCTAGCTACTACAAACTCTAATTTATTCACTTTTATTTTGCAGTGGCATAGCTAACTCATGCTTAAGCAATCCACAACTCCATGTTAATTCTTCTGTGTCCGGTTAGTCTGCTGCAATTTAAATATAGACTTATTTTCGCAGATGAATTTTCTATCTTCTAGTTTTTATCTGCCTTGTTGTTTGAAATCTCTGATACAGCATTTGAAATGTTAAAAGTAATTGAGTTGGTCTATTCTTTTATAATTTATTTACTTTTAATTTTCAGTGGTACGGCTAACTATTGCTTAAGTAATCCACAACTCCATGTTAATTCTTCTGTCTCCGGTTTGGCTACCGCAATCTAAATATATAATTATTTTCACAGTTGAATTTTCTATCTTCTAATTTTTATCTGCCTTGGTGTTCGCAATTTCTAATGCAGCATTTGAAGTATTCTCAAGTAATTGAGTTGCGTGTTTTTAGTTTCTGTTGATGTTATTGATGAATGACATGATCACTGTCTTGCTTGTTAATTAAAATACACACACCGGCAATTCCATTTTCATGCGAGTATAAAATGCTAATAGGATTTTTCTGAATCGAGAGTAGAAAAGTTGGAGAAATATACATCTTCCCTCCTGAATTAATTGTGCATTCCTTCAAAGAATTATTTGTATTTAGAGAAATTAAGGAGGAGAGAAATTTGTCTGAACGAGTCTTGCAAGCGAGTTTGTTTTTGGCTAAAACTATGTATATATTAATCCAATTCACACTGTTAAATTCGTTATCAAGTGGCTTTGCATTAATTAAATTGAGAAGTTTATATAGCAGGAGTAATTAAAGAGTAATTAAAGAGAACATGACGTAAATTTTTCACTATTAAAATTAAAAATATATTTAATTGTCGGGTAAATTTTTCACAAATCCTATGAACTTTAGGTTGTTTCTCGCAAAACCCTCCTGAATCTCTTATCATACCACTAAACTTCACCTAAACTTTGGTGTGTTACAAAACTTTTCTAAACTTTCAAAATATCTCACCATTATTTTTATAATGCACCTTCTTTATGTGTTTATACGGGGTTGAACTTGATATAGTTTACAAAAAATTTGTGGGGCACTCCGAAATTCAGTGAAGATCAGTAAGAGAGCAAAGTCCAAAGAAGTATCGTGAGAAATGCCCCCGGTGTTTTGCGAATTTTACACCTTAATTTAACTTTTCTCTTATGGGAGCAAATTGTAAAGTTTTCAACAGATATTTCAGTGTCACCTCGATTATTTTATGAGATGACTGATGTGATCTTTAAGTCAAAAGAATCCATAGATTTACACCTTATTTTAACTTGTCGCAATATGGAGCACGTTGAGGCCTTTGTGATGGAACAGCCGTTGAAGTTATGGGCTCCTGAAAGTTTGGCCATATCTCAGATGATGGATTCGAAGTTGAAATCATTAGTTTTCTGAACTGCACAAACAGAGGAGAACAACTATCAAATAGCATCGACATAAAAAGCATTCCGAATTAACTGCAACCCAATGTATACTCTAAAGTCCCGCTGTACCATTCCTCTCATGTCAGTGCAGGGTTTTGCGATCTGAGTACGTACGTGCCAAGAATAAAAGAATAAGTCACATTTGCGTACAAAACCTTGGTTCTTTTTTCTCAGTTAATATGTGAATTTGTGATGTCTTAATGGATCAACATGGTCTGCTACACTGTACGTAGGTGACAAGGGAAAGTAATATATTTTTTTTTTATTTGTGACGTATTTTTACGAAACATAAGGCATGAGCCGTAGAAGAGAGTGCATAAATTCACGTATTTCAGCATTGAGTTGGAAAGGGATTGGGAACTTTTATGTAATGTATAACATCCTTTATTGAATAGCCGGAAAAGATCAGGGAAGAATTTCGTATCATTAAAGAGTAATCATTAATTTTAGCAATAAACAAATTGAAGGCATGTCTTTATCAAAACAGTAGAGAAACTTTCTTTCTCCGAGAGGAGAGAGGATCATCAAGTATCCTTGCCTCCACTCGAAACTCGCAGTTGCAAACTTAATCATTGAAAGTTTTTTCCCCCCGAAAAAATGCTTCTTAGAAAAAAATTTTTAATTACAATTAGTGTACTACTAATAGAAAGATAACTTTATTCCTTTATTCTTTATGTAAAAAAGATGCTTAGTTAAATAAAAACGTGAAATCAACCAAAAAGAAAAAGAAAAAAAATACCTGAAATGGCATACCTTATGGTAATATATAACACAGAAAAAAAATGTCTGAAGGTAAATTTTAGAAAAGTGATAATATATACAACAGAGATTAAAAAAAGTGTAACTCAGCAAATAATAATGACGATAACAAAGCAAAATAGCCAAAACATTAAGAAATATTTAATTATTTCCGTAGCATTTGATGTCACGTTAGGTTTGAGTAGTGGAGCACTATAACTACAACCTATCTAACTAAATTGAATTAGTATACAGTATACTGCATTCCTAAAATCTTGCATTAGTTTGAAAAGTGCGGGTTCGAGAAGTGCAATTCTTATTTATAACATTTTTTAAGATTATACGATCGTACATGCGTTTGAAGTTTATCCATTATATTTTTTTTTGGTAAATGAAAAATTTATTCATTTTCCAAATATTGAAATACAGCACATCAAAGTCTCAGAACATGAGAATACAAGAGAAAGCTTTATGTCAAAAAGCTCACAAACTCAACTAATTACAGAGAACATATCCAAGCTCTGCAAGAATCCGAAAAATTGCTGTTGAGAACATTTGATAAAATGCTAAGCTTTATCTCCTTGAACACTTGATCAGAGGACTTGTATTTCATCTTGAAAATTCTGGAATTCCGTTCAATCCATATACTGTAAATTGTCGAGGTTAAAGCCATTCGTTTAATCTTTTGTTTGAATCCCCTTCCCCTTAACCTGAAGCAGTACCAGGAGTAAATTTGAGACCAGATGCATGACCTCCACTTAAATTGCAACCATTCCATCACCATATTCCAAACACTCTTCGAAAATGGGCAATCAAAAAAGAGATGGTCTCTAGTTTCATGGCTGGAAACAGAGCATAAAGAACAAGTATTGCTATTCACAATCCCCCAATTGTTAAGCCTGTCTTCAGTGAGGAGATGATTTTGCATTGCTAACCAGCTGATGAAGGAATGTCTGGGAATGTTTGCAGCATCCCAGATTGTATTGTACCAAGGATCTGAACCTGGAGCTGGAGATATAGCAGTATATAGGGTTGAAATTTTAATATCTGAATTCCTGCAGCAAGATTGAAAGAGAGCCTTCAAATTATCAACTCCATTATATAACCTCAAAGCTTTATCTCTAATCTTCAAAATCTGTTTCCATAACCAAGAATTTCCAGTTTTTGCTTGAACAGACCAGATATCAAGTTGCTTTAAGTAGGTATTATGGATCCATTTAATCCACAAACTCTCCTTATTGATATGTAAATGCCAGAGAATTTTTAGTATAGAAGCAAAATTCCAATTACTTGCTGAAAAAATGCCCAGGCCACCATGTCTCCTGCTTAAACATGTTTTATCCCACGAAATGAGAGGAATTTTAGTAGACTGCTCAGAACTGCCCCACAAGAACTTCCTGCTCATCTCATCAATTTTTCTGAGCACTTTTACTGGCAGAAGATAATTAGATGACCAGTAGATCTGAATGCCAAGCAGAACAGACTTGATAATTTGCAGTCTGCCCGCATATGATAGCCCCTTATTCTTCATACATGATTGAAATTGTCCAGAGATTTTATTTAGGAGAGGGGAGCAATCCATAAAAGATAATCTCTTGCATATCATAGGAACAGCTAGATATCTTATAGGCAATGTACCCTCTGAGAAATTCAGTGAGCTGTTGACAGTGTTTTTAAAACTCTCATCAACTCCTCCATAGAATATATTGCATTTGTCTAAGTTTGCTTCCAAACCTGAAACAGAACTGAATTCCCTGAAACAGTTGTAGATCTTGCTCACTGAGTATATATCACCTTTTGAAAAGAGTAGAAGATCATCCGCAAAGATTAGGTGGGTGATCTTAAGCTCACCACACCTAGGATGGAATTTAAAAGCTTTGTCATCCTTTAGTCTTGCCAAATTTCTAGATAAATATTCCATCCCCAAGACAAACAAATAAGGTGAAAGGGGATCACCTTGCCTTAGACCTCTTTCCCCCTTAAAGTATCCATGGAGTGATCCATTTAGAGATATAGAGTATTTGGGAGAAGATATGCAAGCCATGATCCAAAGTTTATCCATTATAGTTAACCATCAAAGTGAACATTTTTTATCATATTAGTTCAGATGCATGTGCAATGCACGTGGTTAAATATCATAATTATTTAAATTAATAAAAATAGAATATAAATAAAAATAAAATAAAGTTTTTTGTGGGATTGATCATCAACTCAATAATCTCTCTCTCAACTGAAATATGATCATTGTTTCCTTTCAACCCAGACTGTGACCATGTGATCTACTATTTGTGAGTTATAAACACATTAATCTAGTATAACATCTTTGTTTATTAGTATTTTTAAGTATTTAAAAGATGGGTGATCATTCAATTCGTAAAGGAATTTTTATATGAAGTTACTTGTAATATGTCGATTAAACATTTAGTTGTGGTTTGACCCATATTCACATTAACATTTAGTTATGGTTCTACTCATATTTATATTATCTAATATTCTCATTCAATTTTATAGCTCATTCTCTGTATCATAGAAGTAAAATTGAAAGTATGAAGAATTATTTTCTTACGAAATTTGAGCAAAGAGATTATATTTCGCCATGTGCTCTAACTATAAAATTTTTTTTTATGCAAGATCCCTATCAAATCTTAGCTAAACAATGTAATGAAAAATGCTATTATAACTCACTTGCATAGGGCAATTGTATTGTATATAGGACGTATAACTCATCTGAAATATCTACATCTGCTAAGTGGATTTTGTTGTTGTGAGAGCAACATGTTAGATGCTCATATTTAAACTTTTTGACTCTATAAAAGACACAAGAGTTTGGAGTGCATAGCTAATATGTCGTAAAGAACATATTGGTTCATGAAAAAATTTCCCTGATAACGATATTATTACAATGATATTACTATTTAGTATTAAATCAATTTTATTATATAAAATTATATGATCCTTTTTTATAAATTATAAAGTGTGTGTGTGTGTGTGTGTGTGTGTGTGTGTGTGTGTGTGTGTGTGTGTGTGTGTGTGTGTGTGTGTGTGTGTGTGTGTGTGTGTGTGTGTGTGTGTGTGTGTGTGTGTGTGTGTGTGTGTGTGTGTGTGTGTGTGTGTGTGTGTGTGTATATATATATAGAGAGAGAGAGAGAGAGAAATATCAATGCTTATAGTCAATAGTTGGGCTCCACAAAATAGGTTAAGTTTATATTGTAATTTTTTATTTGTAGTACTATTAGAAATGCAATTACCTTTCCTCTTTATCTTATTATTTATGTTTTTCTGATGTAAGTTCTTTTTGTTAATCACTAAATTGACCATATTTAGTTTTTATAATATTAGATGTTAGAATATTCTCTTTAATTTAAAAAGTGTTGACATGATTTTCTTAAAAGATATGTAAATGTTGTAGCAATAATATATACTCAGTTCAACTTAAACATTAGGTTGAAGTTATTTAAGATGAGGTCATTTCTACGCTAGAACGATGATTTAGTGATTACACAATTCAAAAGTTAAAGAAAAAATTTCTACAAAGGAAAAATTATTTAATATGTTAAATTAACAACTAATTTATAAAACATACATGAGCGATACAAATAGCTATACAAAGTAAGGTATATATCTTTATGAAAATTGCATAGTGAGTGACCAACTACAATCATTCTAATTTTAAGTATAAATAATTATTATTTTAGTTACTAATTTAATACGCGTAACTATGGAATAAATCTCAGACAAAAAATAGGAATTAAAATTTTATAGAATTTAAAAGTAATGATTTAAATTATTAAGTTTCAAATATTAGTTCATGTGAGAAAGTAAAGTAATCTTAGTCTATATACATATATAGTCAATCAATCAAATGTATTATAATTATGATGACTACAGTCAATACTATATGGTGGATTCACATTAAATATAATTTATAAAAAATAATACATTAGAGTCAAAATCCTTTTTTAACCACTATATAGATTGTGTGAAAAGTTTTGCATATATTAATTACACTGTCTAGGAACAGTGATGTGTTGTACACTTAACTATTGTCTAATAATCTTAAGAATAATTTACTCTTCAATATCATCATTAATTAACGTATCTATGCATTACATTAAAAACACAATAAAAATTAAGAAAAATACAAAGGAAACACCCTCAAAAATTTTAAAAATTGTAAAAAATACCCTAAAATTATGTAATTTACAAACACACAAAACAAATAAACATTACATTAAATTCAAGAAATTACAAAAAATTATTAAAAATTTTCAAACTTTGGAGGGGTAATTTGCAATGTGCTACTCTAAGGGTGTTTTTTGATAAATTTTAAATTTAATAGATTTTTAATCATTTATGTTCTTTTCAAAAAAGTTATAGATAATATTGACCAAGAAAGGTTTTTTCTAAACCTATACTTTTAAAGTGAGTATGATATTTTTTGTAAAATTTTATATTTCTAGGGGTTGTTAGTAATTTTGTATATTCATTTTAGTGTCTATAGATTATAAAATCTCATGGTGCTTTTTTATAAATT